ATCTTCCTGCGTTTTGCCTTGCAAAAATGCGGCTTTGATATCGAAGCTTTTCAGAGTCCATCCCATGGATGATATTGCTTGCAACAAGAGCATTTCGGATTGCTTTCCAAGTGTCGGCGAGTCCCGGGGTATGCTGTCTAACTGGGGATCTTGATATCCAAGGACTACTAGACGTGCTTTCGGTTTATGGGTCTTTGGTCCTGGTCTGACGTTCTCAGTTGATCCGGTTTGAAGGTCGTCAGCATCAAGGGGTTTCCATACGCATATCCAGCGGCAACGCATTACCTGTTCCGGACACAGCTGATCCCGAAAGATTTTACTCACCGTCCCTGTGTTTAACCAATTTGTGATCTCCTTTTCCTTTGCTTGACGGAAGAGAGCTTGTTCTTCGGTGGACAATTGGTGCATCTTTACTTCTGTTCGGTCACGCTTGGTGGTGGTAGTCATCATGATAAGATTTGTTGCTGGTGAGTTTTCATCCCATTTCATCATTGTTTCTTGGGGAAACAGGAATTCAGCTTTCCATCCTACGGCTTCTGAGTCTATTTGGGTTTGGCACCAGCCTACCTGATCTTCTATACTTAGTAGGGAGTCACATACGAGTTCATCACTGAGATCGGATGCTTCGCTTGGGACCGGCACACTTGCTGCATCCTGATGACCGCCGGGGTCACTCGGCAATTCGATGCTTTGTCGGCTCGCTGGAGACACTTGACTCTCTGGAATCGAGGGCTCTTGATCTGGCTGGACCTCTGACGAATTCGATGTGTTTCCTGTTCCTACGTGTTGTGGGATTATATTGCTATCTTCTTGGCTCTCTGGTGGAGTTGCGGGCGCTTGTCCACGAATGTTGGCATTTTGTGTATCTTCGCCTTCAATCCCTGCGATCGGACTTAGAGCTCGGGGGATATGCTGGGCTTCCATGGCACTTACGGGTCGAACATGTTCAGGGGCTATCTTTACCAAGCTTCCTGCGTGACTACACCAAAGACAATGGGGACCTTCTTGTTGGATGACCTTGGCTGGACCAAACCACCCCCGTTGGGTTGGAGTCTGTCTCCATAGCATCACCCAAGTTCCCCTGTCATAGGATCCTCGGTGAGGACAGCTTCGCCGGAGAACAGCTCTTCGCAACGCAGAGCTGTTGTCTGCACAGTGAAAAGCTCGTCGCGCAGCTTCGCGGTATGCCAGCTTTTCTCGAAATCTGATTCCTTCCTGGGTGTCATCGTCTGCCAGGAGGTGCGATGGCAATTGCTCGTCCGATGAGATTGATGCTGGAATTCTGGACCCTTTTCCAAAAACAAGAGTTTCTGGGGAGTATCCCTGTTTCTGGCTCAGTGCATTCTTGGCAGAAGTGCAGTGCGATAGCGCTGTCTGCAGGTTGGTGTATGACGTTATTGGATGTTCCTGTTCATACTTCTTGAGCATTTCCTGTAGGATTCCACCATGTCTTTCTACTTTTCCGATTTGCCAGTGTGCACCTGGTGGGGTAACTATTGCTTTGATGTTGAACTGGCCTAGAAAAGTGACAAATTCCTTGGATGTGAATTCCGTCCCTGAGTCTGTGTGAATCTCAATCGGAGCCCCTGCCCATTGGAGCCATCCATTGAGCACCTTGTCTATTGCATCATCACTGCTTTTGCCTGGGCTTGCACATGCTACCTGGTAGTTTGTTCCATAGTCGATAATGTGATAGAAGTGGAAGTTGGTTCCTGCCAGATTCGTGTATACAACACCATCTATCCCAATACAGTCGTTGAAGTCTAGCTCACGTTTGATTGTAGAAGGTCTTTGATGTTTGGGTTCCTTAGTATTCTGACATACGGAACAACTTAGGTCCATGGCAGCTTGACACAATCGGGGTGAGTACCCCTGTTGACGCAGCATTGAACACAGCTTTTGACCATGAGGGTGTCCTAGGTTCTGATGCAATTTCAGCAAGAACGATTTTTCTTCGGCTGATATGGTCTTGAACTTTGGGAAATGGTCAAAACTCGGCATATGGAGTTGACTCGAACTCGCTCCTGTCTCTTTGGTCTGATCCGGATCCAGCTCTGTGACAGGTGCTTGGTCACTACTTGGCAGGCTGACGGTTGCCTCCTGCGGCTCGATGCTTGTTCCCGTTGCCTCGGGACTCATATTCTGTTCGGTCGAATCACCTGATGCTTCTGACTTGGATTGGGGCAAACATGCATACATTGTGATATTGACTCTTGCGGGATGCGCTGGGCGGACTTGCTGCCGATGAGACAGGTCTTGCCAGTATTCCCAATCCTTTTCTACTTGGATTACCCCCCCTATTCGGCTTACGATGATGGCACGACGATATGGGGCCTCATTCTTTACCAAATCCCTTGGCGGCGGCAATGTTCGATCTGATCCCTTACATGCTTGAACTTTCTTGATTTCTTTTTCGGGGAACATGTTTTGAAGCCTCTCCAAGATTTGGTGGCTTGTGATAAAAGTCTTCCCTACTCTTGGCAACATTGGTTGGATGTCCTTGATGATTTCTTCTAGTTGTCTCTGAGGTGACATGTTCATACTCTGCGATTCGGCCGTCTTGCCGTCAATGCGGCGGCGCTTGCACTCGTTCGACAATTGCTCCAGGGGTGTTGGTGGCAGTCGCCCACCTTGGGACTTCTGCATGGGAGAACTCACACGGATCCGCTTGGATGCACTTTCCTCACTCGGTTGATCTATTCCTCTGGTTACAAGGGCAGTAACCCATGGCTCATGTTTCACTTTCAACATCACCTTAGCTACTTGTCTTGCAAACTTTCTTGGATAGTTCTCTGTATAGCTACTGACGGCGATTCTCCCGAGAGGCGTTGTCACGGATCCGGCAATGGGTCTGTGCTCATGATCTCGACGACACACCCGGCCATGCAACGAGGCATACATCTCTTGCGATGTCGTTCTTACAGCCATCTCCTTTTGTATGAGTTTGTTCGTTTCTGGACATGTCAACTGGCCTACGCGACACATGTCGAAATTGGCTTCCTGAGTATATGAATACAGCTCTTGCAGGAGTGGGGTCTTGAACATGATGGATTTTCGTGGCTGCTCCCAGTGCATGTGGTTTCCTAGCTGACGTGACATGCGAAGCAAGACTACTCCTAGTGCAAGTTCGAACAAGTGTGACTCTCTCTCTCTCGTTGAACATGTTCACACAATTGGATTGATCTCATTTCATTGAACGTGTTCCATGCGCTCCATGGTCCACAGGTCGGACTGAACCATATGTGACGGGGTCTTTGTTTCCACACCATTTGAAACAGAACCCTTCTCCCCTCCTTGGTTTTGAGGTTTTGTGCGCCCTTCCAAAACGGTTGGCTCTGCCGCCCAGCAATTGGACTTGCTTCGTCAGTTCACTGGCCTCATGACAAAACACTTCCAGCAAATGTAGACGGCTGCATCCGTTCGAGATCACTGGATCACACCTTGCTAGACTGGCTTCCTTTGAGATTTGCTGAACCAGTGCATGGAATTTATGGGACAGACTGTGAGTCTTACCTGGACTGACATCTTTTTGGCACATGGACGATACATGTATATCAGCTTCCTCGAAGAAGTCTAGCCATGACGAGCTCATGA